ACATATATATAAAGTTTCATAGATATGACCAAGTGACATTACTGTTTGAGAGATTTCTGGTGACCTACAGCATTTACAGTTTAAACAGACTTTCTTCACTAAAGGAATGTATTCTTACTGCAGGAAATACTTTGAATAAAACTTTTGAAAGTAAATAGCAGGGTCACTTCTGAGTACATACTCAGAACTGAAAGAAGCTGGCTTCAGCACTGGGGAGGTGCTGGTCACTACTATCAACTTGATAGACTCTAGAATCACCTAGGAGATGGGCCTCAGGGCATGCCTATAGAGGGATTATCTTTTATTAATTTTTTATTTATTTATTTTTAAACTTTTTTTATTTTATGTGTATGAGTGTTATCCCTGCATGCATGTAACTGCACCCATGTCATGCAGTACCTGGGCAGGCTAGAAGAGGGCATTGAATCACCTGGAACTAGAGTTTACAGGTGGTTGTTAGCCACCATGTGAATGCTGGGAATCAAACCTGGGTCTTCTGCAAGAGTAACCAGTGCTCTTAACCTCTGAGCCACCTCTCCAGTCCCTAGAGGGATTATCTTGATTCCCCTTAATTAAGATGGGAAGGCCTGCCCACTGTGGGTGGTACTATTCCTTCCTTGCCTTGAAAAAAAAAAAAAAAAAAAGCAAGCAGTAAGCTGGGGATGTAGCTCAGTGGTAAAGTGCTTACTTAGCATGCAAAAGGCCCTAGGTTCAAAGCCTAGTGCTGGGAAGGGGAGGTTGAAATTTGAACATTCGCTCCAATATGGATGAAGTCACTGATGACATGCTTATGCTTAGTGCCTGATCTAACCAGTCACAAAAGAACAAATATTGTATAGTTCGTTTATATGCTATTTTTGTAGGGGCAGTTTTGTTTTTCCCTTACTTGTTAAACCATCTCTTGAGCTCCACCATTTTTTTTCTTCAGTTTTTTTTTTTTTTTTTATCTTTTTGAGACAGGGTCTACCTACCACAGCTGGCCTAGGACTCACTATGGAAACCAGGCTGGCCTCAATCTGACAGAGATCTGCTGGCCTCTGCTTCCCAAGTGCCAGGATTAAAGGTATGTCACCATCCCTGGCTATATGCTGTATTTGGAGTAGTGAAATTCATAGAGCCCAAAACTAGAATGGTAGTTTTCTGGGGCTGGGGAAAAGAATTGGTGCTTATTGGGGCCGGAGAGATGGCTGAGCAGTTAAGAGAACTGACTGCTCTTGTAGAGGACCCAGGTTTGATTCCCAGCACCCACATGGCAGCTACAAACCGTCCTCAACTCCAGTTCCAGGGCAATCCGAAGCCTGTTCTGATCTCCGTGGCATTGCACTCATATACACACAGGCAATACACTCATACAAATAAAATAAAAATAATAAAATATTTTTAAAAAAGAATTGGTGATTGTTGTTAAATGGGTAAGTAGTTTGGGAAGAAAGGAACATTCTATAGATATAGGCGTGGTAATGGTTATATAACTATGAAAATCTATATGCTCTCAACTTATTTATTTTCAGCTCAGTAGAAACCAGTCAGCTAGGCATGGTAGCATGTGCCTCTAATCTAAGCATTTGGGAGGCAGAGGCAGGAGCATTGCCACAAGTTTAGGTCAGCCTGTGAGTTTCAGGCCAGCCAGGGCTACAGAGTAAAACCCAGTCTCAAAAAAACACACAAAAGTTGGTGGGAGGGGGGGACCACTGCAGTCATTTATTCACCCAAGTCACTTGCACAAGGGCCATAATAATTTCCTATGTGTTGTCAGTTTTAGTGTACATACTGCTGAAGTGAGCACAATAGAACCACTTAATGTCATTTAACTATACACTTAAAAATTATTAAGGCTAGGGATACAGCTCAATGATAGAGCATTTGCCTATCATGTATGAGCCCTCCTGTGTAGTTCCCAGCATTGGGAAGAAAAGAAAAATGAAGTAGTAAGTTTTATGCATATTTGCAATGACTTAAAATTCCTTAAGGAAAATTTAAAAGCCAGTATCTATACAAGAATCCTGGATGTTATAGTTTGAACATGAAATGTTCCCCCCAAAAGGCTCATATATTGAAGGATTGGTCCCCAGCTGATGGCACTATTGAAAAGTGACTAGATCATGTGTGAGCTAGTGATCCATTGAAGAATTTGTAGCCAAACGGTCTATTAAGAGATGAGTCCTAACTGGAAGAAGTAACTCACTGGAAGCGTGCCTTTGGAGAGTATACCCTCCCTCTAACACCTTTCTCTCTCTGCTTCCTGGGTTCCAAGAGGTGAGCAGCCTCCTTCACCACATGCTTCCATTCCACAATATCCTACCTTGCCTGGAGCACAAACAATGGAAACATCTGACCTTGGATTGACACCTTTGAAATCATA